CCACAGTATACCTTGAACACCCCTAACGACACTAACGACACACGTAATTTTGTAGATGAACAAGTTTTAATGCCTACACTTCATTGGACATCATATTATCATTTTACTAACCCCCTTTGCCTGCCTTTATCTAATACTCACATCGATATAGAAAGAAATAAAGATATGCTATATCGACTCACCACACCACTAACACATAGACAATTTACTTACATAGGATATAAAAAGTCACTCAAAACATACACTGCACCCCGAGCTAACGAATACACGCTAGAATATTACGATCACAACATCATCCGAACTAACCAAGACCAATTTTTAGATGATGACCGTTTCGCTAACCCACAAATCACAGAAAAATTTTTCATCAAAACACCATATGTATTTACACTCAATATATTTGATCGCAAATTCGATCACATCATTTCTGAAGCACTAACCGACACACAATCTTACGAAAGTTTTAAAGAAAAATTTCAATTATTTTCACTAACCTTCCATTTCCTTGCACCACATGAAAGAGATTTGCACTGCTCACACGATATTATGTTACGCACTAAACAAACCCACACATATACATTTTATCGCTTCATACAAAATCACTTTGATCTACACACTCCATCAAGACAACCACACCACCGTTTTCAATGTATTAACTCTAAGTACACTTCACCATTTTTTCTTAACTTCACATATTGCATCAAAGATACTAACCTTCACGGTATTCTTCGCAATTATGATCCCATAACCCAAATGTATATTTTTTGTCCCATCACAAAGACCTTCAACGCAGAAGAATCCAGACCCTTCCTTATCCCACATGAATTTATTCAACCTATAGAAATCCCAATATTAGAATTCATCCACAACACTAAATACAATCACAAATTATATAATCTCATCCAAAACACACCTTATGATTTTGCAGTTGGCACTGAAGAACTAAAAACCATTAAAGCACTTCAATTGCTTTGGCCACTGCTTCAAACTAAAAACATCATTCGCATACTAGCAAAATTACTAACAAATTCCAACATAATACACGACATCTTCCCCCACGGTTTTTTCCCCGACGACTAACAGGTAATTTATCATATTCTTAACTAATAAATTCAAATTAAAAAACTAACCATTCTTTATCCATGTCTCATTTTGATTTTTAGTCTTCATCTCACGATCATCTGCAAAATACACAAAAGAAAAATGAAAAAAAGAAATCTTCTTCAAATTGTTCAAAACTCTAATAATCTTTTGCACCAGCCAAATTAAATAAAGTTCATACAAATGTAGTAAATTAATTTATAAATTATTTCCCTAGAAGCAGTAATTCTAACAATGATGAAAATTTGTAACTTAATTTTTCCCCAAAACTAGCAGTAAAAGTGAAATTCTATGTAGTAAATTGATAAGACGAAAATGCAGTACTAACCTTTTAATTTTTCCATTCACTCGCACAAGAATTCTATCCATACTCGCACAGCTCGCCCACGAAGAATTGTTTAAATAATGAATTTCAGTTTCAAGCTTTCACACTCAACAACTCTAACACACGATAACAAGTTTCGAACTTTCCTTTAACCCGGTTGGAAAGGAATTATATACTAAACAAAACTAACCAACGCAGCTTACTAAACACCACAACACATAGAATAACAGCATGACTAAGAAAAGGAAACCAACGGTACCCAAACCGGATTAACCCAGTTTAAAACTGGATAATTTATTCTTTTGAAGACTATTATAAAGTCTAAGAAAGAAATAATAAAACACAAAAAAGTCGAAACACAAACCCATACCAAAAACAATTTGATTTTTGAAAAAAGGACACAACCAACGAAACATAAGAAAAACCACAATAAACCCAACATAAAACGTTATCACATAACAGGACCTCTCACAGAAACCGCACGAAATCATACTCCCACTCCTGGCCTAACCCACCAGAGAGGACGTCCTGAGCATGCTCTATAGCCGGCCTAACCCACCGCGCTACATCCACGCTTTGTGACCACACTTCTTTTTTTAATAAGAGGTACTCAAGGGTGAGTAACTCTTTAAAATAACTGAACTAAAACAGAAAGCTTTTGTGAAAACAACTAACCAAAATCATAATTAAAACACCAAACTAATAAAAATTGTATAAAATGTAAATTATATCTTGCAGTATATAGATCAGCATACAACACCAAAGACGAACATCCAAAGACAAAATGACCCCACTACACTCGAAAAAGAATGGCCAACCACAATCAATATGCCGCCCACAATCACAACTCAAAGGATTTAGAGTACGACTTGACTTCGCAGAAAAGGACTTCATTGAACTAGAACAATGACCACCTCGATGTTCAAGTATACGTACAGATCCGAGTAACCAGGCATCCCCTCCACGCACAATCTCCACGCCATTCCCAGACAAGGTCAACCCAAAAAGAAGTTGTCTACATGGAACAGAAAAACCTGTCATAGCCAACCATTCTGAAGTCAGATTTGAGTTTGTTGCGAAAACCCAGTCGTTGTCATGAGAAGACACAGCGATTGAACTTGGAACTTCTCTAACAAGAGAACCCAGAAGAATTATGATGTTCGCCAAATACCAACGTCCATCATCCATCCTTTGAATTGCAAAAAGACTATTCTAAAAAACTCTGTAAAACCCGGATGGGTGGAACCTGATCTAAACTACATTTTATGATTGGATAAATTAGATATTTTACCACTCTAAAGTATTTAATATTAACCAATCATGATCCATCTAACTAACAACCCACTTATTTGTAAGTGCTGAAATTACTTGTAATTTCAGCACCAGAGAGATTTGAATTTAACTTAGAAGTTAGTTGACTCTCCAAGAGAACTTCAGCAGCCGCAATAAACCAGTATACCCTAGATCTATTGAGCCTAGCAGAGACTAGTTAAACAACCTGAGACTAGATAGTATAAGAGTAAGATTAGGATCGGTATTAGACTAAGAAGTTGCACGAATCTATCCGGCCGAAAATAAGATAGCGTGACGAGCAGACGGTGTACCCTATCCGAAATTACTCTATGAGTTAACCACCTCGGTCATAACTCATTTTTGCAGCGCAAGAGGCAAAAATCTTTTCTTCTTCAAATAAGTATTTATTTGTTTGCGTCTAAGGCTCCTAAGGGAAACTAAGGGTCGGTCAGCCAGAAATGGTTGTCTTAAAACGCACCAAAAAGGAAAGGGCAGTTGTTCGGAGAAACAAAACTTATCTTGGCGCCTCAATTTTTCATCAGCCGACTCTTTGATGTTGGCTCTAATAGCAGAAATTTTCAAATACTTGCCATCAATAAGCAACAATTTTTCTTAGTATGCAGAACAAATAATGTCTGAAAGAAAAATTATTTGACAAAAGGCAACACCCCCTTAATCGCCCCGACTGCTCTTCAAAAATTTTAAATTATTCATTGTTTTTGATAAATGTCAAAATTTTCGATGAAAGGTGTCTTTTTCGAACATTTTTTTAAAAAGCATCTGTCCCATATGGTCTTGTAGAGAATCAAAGTTCAAATTTTTACCGAAATGAAACAAGTAACTTCTGAATTGATCGCTACCAAGAAAAATTCAACATCACTCGTAACAAACCTTTAGGTAAAAAAAGCCAAAGTCTTTTCTTTAAATGAAGCCCAACGTGGAGCACGAACACCAACAGCTCTACTGAATGGAAAAGCGGACACTGTTTTCTTTCAAACATTAATGTAGTATCTGTAGGTCATTTAATCAATTTTTGTCTGACTGAGTATCAAATAAGTTTAGAGCCTTTACAACTTCCATTTGCTAAATTTACCCCTCTATAGTCAATAAAACTCTAACTATTTACCTTGCCTGCCACCATCAAATTGAATCAAGTTACTTTTGATTTGAATGCAACCAATAAAAAGTCAACACCACTCATACCAAACTTTTAAATTTTACATGAACAGAAAAAGTCTAATGTCTTTATTCTACACCATCGGCCATTTGAATGCTAGAGACAAAATGACTATTTTTGCGTGTATTCACCAAAACTTTCACTAAATTTACGCAATTAACACAATATTTGAATCAGTTTTCAAGCCCTCAGTTTTCAAGCCAGTAGTTTGGCAGAAAGTGGTTGCAGGCAAAATATCATTCGATTTTGGGAGCTCATGTGTCAGTTGCTCTCATCTAGTTTAGATAATCCAAGAAACTGCTGGATAAAATATTGAAATTGTCTAGAGAAAAACAGGAAAACATTGCATCGAGAACTCATATTCATTCATTTTTTTGAAATTCGCAGCAATAGTATTTAATAATTCCATTTCCTATACGTCATTGATTGATATTCGCCTCACACAGATTCGACCCATTCACTACCCATATAAAAACTTTGGCATAATGGGGGTGGCGCAGAAAACTGTGTCAAAATAGGGTCTTGGAGTGTATTGGAAGGGTTGAACAATTATGAAAATCATTGAAATTTGGAGGAGGTATAAATTATACCTCCTCCAAATTTCAATGATTTTCATAATTGTTCAACCCTTCCAATACACTCGAAACAACTTTGTGAAAGAATTTAGTAGAACCTCGTAAAAACTTATAAAACAAAACACGGCCCTAGATTGCAAAAATAACGCTCAACAGAATAACTTAGCCAGGATAAAAAAAGAAGAAAAAAAGGGGACATCCTTCGACAAGATCAAAACTTTTCGATAGAAAAATATTTAGGCAATTCGCAGGAGAAAGCTTATCATCCGCATCATTATTATTATTTTACCGTATAATAATAATAATGATGCGGATGATTAGCTTTCTCCTGCGAATTGCCTAAATATTTTTCTATCGAAAAATTTTGATCTTGTCGAAGGATGTCCCCTGTTTTTCTTCTTTTTTTATCCTGGCTAAGTTATTCTGTTGAGCGTTATTTTTGCAATCTAGGGCCGTGTTTTGTTTTAAAAGTTTTTACGAGGTTCTACTTAATTCTTTCACAAAGTTGTTTCGAGTTTTTCAGTCTGGCTGTGGTAAGAGCTTTAAGAAGTTGGCATTTAAAAAAACTATTATTGTTGATTTGTCACTAAATGGTTCAAAATACATGAAAAATATCGTAAGCTAAGTTTCTGGCAACGAATGACACACATTATCTGTCCAATGCCATGTTTTCACACGAAACGGATCCCTCGTAAGATGCTTCGGAGTTTCTGGAACGTTTTTTGGATGATCTGACTTTCGAAAGAAGACTCTCTGATAAAGTGAGTAAAAAGCTGATGTTCGGTTTCAAGGCGCCTGAACTTCCAAAAACTCCTCGTTTTTTCAGTCCTAAAAAGAATATCAGCTCGCTCTTGTCTTTAGAAGAAGCTACAGGGTTAATTAGGAAACCCAAAAGGGCTAAGTTTGTCGAGATTATATCAGACTGGGCTTGCCCTGAATTGGAGTAATCAACTCCTTTTTTGACCGGACAACCGCAGCGCTGAATTGAGCCATTCTCGCCAAAACAAGAGGTGAAAAGTATTTCAAAACTATCGTCATTTTCCGGTTTTTTCTTAGTCTGTTCGTTGTTTGAACGCATGCTAAATCTAGCAATGAAATCTGATTGGCCAATTTTCTGCACCAATGAAAAGCACTCAACCGAGTCATCCCAGCTTAGCCTTTCTGGGGTAAATTGAATCATAAGTTTGTCGAGGTTTTGTGGAGAAATAGTAAGGACCATTTCCATTTTAAGCAGTCGCAGTTTCTTTGAATCTTTTGAAATTTCGGTGGAGAAAATACTGGTTCCGTATGCTCCGCTGTCTTCTAATTTCCAGTCGAAATCCAGCATCAAATCTTCATCAGTCAGAAAATGAAGCGAATCTTTCGCCTCTTGCTGTGCTTTATCAATGTTCAAACTAGAAAGCGAAACTCTACTACTAGCTCTCTTTAAGGAAAACTGTCCTGTGTTTTCGCGCGAGTTTTCGGGTGTAGCTTGAGCCGAAATGTTTTGTTCGGCTCGCGGCGCTGGCTTCGGCTGAGGCTCCGAGAACGCCTCGTCACCCGAGCTAGAGAATCTCGGCTCAGTGCTCGCAACTGACTTGTACTCGCTTGGAGATCTTTCGGTTTGCGTCGCGGCCTGCTCGGCCCAATCTAAGACTCTAGCGGTCGCTGGGTTTCGTCGGACTATCGTGCTTCGATTTGAATGCGGGTTCTCGACGTCGTTGTCGTTCGAGTGCATAATTCCTCCAATTTTTGGCGCCCTCGTCAGACCAAAGTGATAGTCGACGAGATAGGTCGATATCCAACCCATAGCGAAGGCGGAAATTATGAGGAGGTAACAAATAACTGTTTCTGATGAATCACCCATCGGATAAATGAACACTTTGACCGCTAGATAAACTGTTGAAAAGAACGACATAGATCCCGCGTATATCCAATGTTTTCTTTTGAAAACCATGTAAACAAGTAGCAGAATTGAATCTCGGACGAAGACTAGAATCAAAATATCCATGAAGGATGTTTTGAATGAGTAATGAACAAACTCCCTGCGAAATAAATTACGATACGATTGGTCGCTGCCTTTTTCCATGCTCAGGTAAATCGAGTAGACTAAGAAAGTTAGCAGGAAGTCTGAAAAACAGAAGAACGCGTAGGACCTCCTCGCCCGACGTAAGTTTTCACCGGGGTCGGCAGCTGCAGTCGCTCGGGCGATCAGCGCCACGCCGTCGGCGTTGCTTCCCTGTTGCACGCCGTGTCCTTCTTCATTATGGTTGACGACGCTTCCGTACGCCGCTTCAAAGCCATTAGGAGTTGGACTCATGGTTTTAAATCATGAGCAAATTGAATCGAACATAATTTCAAACTATAGGTAAATATCAAATTCGAGATTGATCAAATAAATAATGATCTTTAAACTATTAACAACAATCGATAGATTACATTGCAAACACAAAAAGTGCTAGTGTTCATTTATATTTCACAAATAAGTAATGAGAAAAAGCAATGAATAGAAAAAGCAATATAAATCAACCTATTTTTTTCTTGTTGCGTTTCTTACATAGCAGAAACTTGTACCGTATTTTTGCTCAGCAAATGAAGTTGAAGGGCATTCTGGTGAAAAAGTGTTCACGAATAAAACAATATTGTTAGAATTTTATTTCGTGTTTGATTTTAATCTAAAACCAAAACAGCACATAAATCACGCATAGTACTAAAGTTCAGTGTTCAGATTAGTTGAGTTGGTATACTATGTATAACAGAGCTACAGTTCAGATATGAACAAACAAAACGGCCAGAAAACACATCACTCTACTAACCAAGACAAGATACGCTTTGAAGGATAAACATTAGCCTGACATTGTCATGCTTAAGACAATTATCTTCAGCAAAGCATCAAAAGCATCAAAAGACAAAGCATCAAAAGTTTTTCAGGGCTTTCGCGACCGAGGCGGAGACGGCGCAACTACGAAACAATTTCTCGCGGCCGTAGTGGAAGCGGCGTCACTCAGGAAATGGCGCGACTCAAAAAGCAACGGCGCGACCAGCCTGGCCAGCTCGACTAGAAAGTGATCTTTCAAGTTTCTCGCGACCGAGGTGAAGACGGCGCGACTTTTCAGACCGAGGCGGACAGGGCGCGACTTTTCAGACCAAGGCGGAGATGGCGCGACTTTACAGGCCAAGGCGGAGACGGCGCGACTCAGAAACAATTCCTCGCGGCCGTAGTGGAAGCGGCGCAACTTTTCAGACCAAGGCAGAGATGGTGCGACTTTACAGGCCGAGGTGGAGATGGTGCGACTTTACAGGCCGAGGTGGAGACTGTGCGACTCAGAAACAATTCCTCGCGGCCGTAGTGGAAGCGGCGCGACTTTCCAGGCCGAGGCGGAGATGGCGTGTCCAAACATCATTTACTCGCGACCAAGGTGGAGACGACGCGACTTTTCATACGAAGGCGGAGAAGGCGCTACATCTCAGACCATCGCGGAGATGGCGTGACCAAAAATCAATTCCTCGCGACCAAAGCAGAGACGGCGCGACATTCCGGACCAAGGCGAAGACGGCGCGACTTTCCAGACCGAGGCTGAGATGGCGCGACCAAGAATCAATTCCTAGCGACCAAGGCGGAGACGGCGCGACTTTCCGGACCAAGGCGGAGACGGCGCGAACTTCCAGACCGAGGCAGAGATGGCGCGTCCAAACATCATTTCCTCGCGACCAAGGTGGAGACGACGCGACTTTCCGGACCAAGGTGGAGACGGCGCGACTTTCCGGACCGAGGCGGAGATGACGCGACCAAAAATCAGTTCCTAGCGACCAAGGCGGAGACGGCGCGACTTTCCGGACCAAGGCGGAGACGGCGCGAACTTCCAGACCGAGGCAGAGATGGCGCGACAAAAAATCAATTCCTCGCGAACAAGGTGGAAACGGCGCGACTTTCCGGACCAAGGCGAAGACGGCGCGACTTTCCAGACCGAGGCTGAGATGGCGCGACCAAGAATCAATTCCTAGCGACCAAGGCGGAGACGGAGCGACTTTTCATACGAAGGCGGAGAAGGCGCGAATCTCCAGACCAAGGCTGAGATGGCGCGACCAAGAATCAATTCCTAGCGACCAAGGCGGCGACGGCGCGATTTTCAGGACCAAGGCGGAGCCGGCGCGAATTTCCAGACCGAGGCTGAGATGGCGCGACCAAGAATCAATTCCTAGCGACCAAGGCGGAGACGGCGCGACTTTCCGGACCAAGGCGGAGACGGCGCGAATTTCCAGACCGAGGCAGAGGTGGCGCGACAAAAAATCAATTGCTCGCGAACAAGGTGGAGACGGCGCGTTTTTCCGGACCAAGGCGAAGACGGCGCGACTTTCCAGACCGAGGCTGAGATGGCGCGACCAAGAATCAATTCCTAATGACCAAGGCGGAGACGGAGCGACTTTTCATACGAAGGCGGAGAAGGCGCTACTTTTCAGATCATCGCGGAGATGGCGCGACCAAAAATCAATTCCTCGCGACCAAAGCAGAGACGGCGCGACATTCCGGACCAAGGCGGAGACGGCGCGTTTTTCCAGACCGAGGCGGAGATGGCGCGACCAAGAATCAGTTCCTCGCGACCAAGGCGGAGACGGAGCGACTTTTCATACGAAGGCGGAGAAGGCGCTACTTTTCAGACCATCGCGGAGATGGAGCGACCGCAAATCAATTCCTCAGGACCAAAGCAGAGACGGCGCGACATTCCGGACCAAGGCGGAGACGGCGCGTTTTTCCAGACCGAGGCGGAGATGGCGCGACCAAGAATCAATTCCTCGCGACCAAGGCGGCGACGGCGCGATTTTCAGGACCAAGGCGGAGCCGGCGCGAATTTCCAGACCGAGGCGGAGATGGCGCGTCCAAACATCATTTCCTCGCAACCAAGGTGGAGACGACGCGACTTTCCGGACTAAGGTGGAGACGGCGCAAATCTCCAGACCGAGGCAGAGATGGCGCGACGAAAAATAAATTCCTCGCGAACAAGGTGGAGACATCGCGACTTTCCGGACCAAGGCGAAGCCGGCGCGACTTTCCAGGCCGAGGCTGAGATGGCGCGACCAAGAATCAATTCCTAGCGACCAAGGCGGAGACGGCGCCACTTTCCGGACCAAGGCGGAGACAGCGCGAATTTCCAGACCGAGGCAGAGGTGGCGCGACAAAAAATCAATTGCTCGCGAACAAGGTGGAGACGGCGCGTTTTTCCGGACCAAGGCGAAGACGGCGCGACTTTCCAGACCGAGGCTGAGATGGCGCGACCAAGAATCAATTCCTAATGACCAAGGCGGAGACGGAGCGACTTTTCATACGAAGGCGGAAAAAGCGCTACTTTTCAGACCATCGCGGAGATGGCGCGACCAAAAATCAATTCCTCGCGACCAAAGCAGAGACGGCGCGACATTCCGGACCAAGGCGGAGACGGCGCGTTTTTCCAGACCGAGGCGGAGATGGCGCGACCAAGAATCAATTCCTCGCGACCAAGGCGGCGACGGCGCGATTTTCAGGAACAAGGCGGAGCCGGCGCGAATTTCCAGGCTGAGGCTGAGATGGCGCGACCAAGAATTAGTTCCTAGCGACCAAGGCGGAGACGGCGCGACTTTCCGGACCAAGGCGGAGACGGCGCGTCCAAACATCATTTCCTCGCGACCAAAGTGGAGACGACGCGACTTTCCGGACCAAGGTGGAGACGGCGCGAATCTCCAGACCGAGGCAGAGATGGCGCGACAAAAAATAAATTCCTCGCGAACAAGGTGGAGACATCGCGACTTTCCGGACCAAGGCGAAGACGGCGCAACTTTTCATACGAAGGTGGAGAAGGCGCTACTTTTCAGACCATCACGGAGATGGCGCGACCAAAAATCAATTCCTCGCGACCAAAGCAAAGACGGCGCGACATTCCGGACCAAGGCGGAGACGGCGCGTTTTTCCAGACCGAGGCGGAGATGGCGCGACCAAGAATCATTTCCTCGCGACCAAGGCGGCGACGGCGCGATTTTCAGGACCAAGGCGGAGCCGGCGCAAATTTCCAGACCGAGGTGGAGATGGCGCGTCCAAACATCATTTCCTCGCGACCAAGGTGGAGACGACGCGACTTTCCGGACCAAGGTCGAGACGGCGCAAATTTCCAGACCGAGGCAGAGATGGCGCGACAAAAAATAAATTCCTCGCGAACAAGGTGGAGACATCGCGACTTTCCGGACCAAGGCGAAGACGGCGCGACTTTCCAGGCCGAGGCTGAGATGGCGCGACCAAGAATCAGTTCCTAGCGACCAAGGCGGAGACGGCGCGACTTTCCGGACCAAGGCGGAGACGGCGCGAATTTCCAGACCGAGGTGGAGATGGCGCGTCCAAACATCATTTCCTCGCGACCAAGGTGGAGACGACGCGTTTTTCCGGACCAAGGCGGAGACGGCGCAAATTTCCAGACCGAGGCAGAGGTGGCGCGACAAAAAATCAATTGCTCGCGAACAAAGTGGAGACGGCGCGTTTTTCCGGACCAAGGCGAAGACGGCGCGACTTTCCAGACCGAGGCTGAGATGGCGCGACCAAGAATCAATTCCTGATGACCAAGGCGGAGACGGAGCGACTTTTCATACGAAGGCGGAGAAGGCGCTACTTTTCAGACTATCGCGGAGATGGCGCGACCAAAAATCAATTCCTCGCGACCAAAGCAGAGACGGCGCGACTTTCCGGACCAAGGCGGAGACGGCGCGAATTTCCAGACCGAGGCAGAGGTGGCGCGACAAAAAATCAATTGCTCGCGAACAAGGTGGAGACGGCGCGTTTTTCCGGACCAAGGCGGAGACGGCGCAAATTTCCAGACCGAGGCAGAGGTGGCGCGACAAAAAATCAATTGCTCGCGAACAAAGTGGAGACGGCGCGTTTTTCCGGACCAAGGCGAAGACGGCGCGACTTTCCAGACCGAGGCTGAGATGGCGCGACCAAGAATCAATTCCTAGCGACCAAGGCGGAGACGGCGCGACTTTCCGGACCAAGGCGGAGGCGGCGCGAACTTCCAGACCGAGGCAGAGATGGCGCGTCCAAACATCATTTCCTCGCGACCAAGGTGGAGACGACGCGACTTTCCGGACCAAGGTGGAGACGGCGCGACTTTCCGGACCGAGGCGGAGATGACGCGACCAAAAATCAGTTCCTAGCGACCAAGGCGAAGACGGCGCGACTTTCCAGACCGAGGCTGAGATGGCGCGACCAAGAATCAATTCCTGATGACCAAGGCGGAGACGGAGCGACTTTTCATACGAAGGCGGAGAAGGCGCTACTTTTCAGACTATCGCGGAGATGGCGCGACCAAAAATCAATTCCTCGCGACCAAAGCAGAGACGGCGCGACATTCCGGACCAAGGTAGAGACGGCGCGTTTTTCCAGACCGAGGCGGAGATGGCGCGACCAAGAATCAATTCCTCGCGACCAAGGCGGCGACGGCGCGATTTTCAGAACAAAGGCGGAGCCGGCGCAAATTTCCAGACCGAGGTGGAGATAACGCGTCCAAACATCATTTCCTCGCGACCAAGGTGGAGACGACGCGACTTTCCGGACCAAGGTGGAGACGGCGCAAATTTCCAGACCGAGGCAGAGATGGCGCGACAAAAAATAAATTCCTCGCGAACAAGGTGGAGACATCGCGACTTTCCGGACCAAGGCGAAGACGGCGCGACTTTCCAGGCCGAGGCTGAGATGGCGCGAGCAAGAATCAATTCCTAGCGACCAAGGAGGAGA